TCGCTTTGGTAGATCTCGCGCGCTATCCAAGGACACACTTGATCTTCATTTTGTAGTTCCGACGGATGGTCTCCGGTTCGGCCGACACCCCCGCATCATAGTAACCAACGAGGTCCCCTGAGAGGGATAAGATGCGGAGTTGCTCAGAGAGACAACTCACCAAGTGCTCTGGACATGGCTAAACCTGGATAGGGTTTGCCTTGTACGTAAACCCGATGGCTGACATCATGTGGGCGTTTGTGAACGGCACCACCACGTGCAATGATGCGGGCTCTCTCTAGCGGCAAATCTGAAATGAGCATACACATGGTGCCCTCGAGGGAAGGATCATCGACCTGGCTTGTGATCCGAGGTGAGATCAACAGCAAGGAGACTTCCATTGGCTGAGCTCCTCTGGGCGAGGACACAACGGCTGTCCCCAACATGGGCGACGTAGAGGCATTGACCGCCTGACAGTGTGGCCTCATCATCATCCTTCTCGAAATGAAGGACGACCGTGCCTGAGACCAGCGAGTAGAAGCCCCAAACCCGACGGGTAAACGGTTACAGGTAGTCCCGGAAACAGCAGCGTCCAATGTGCCGTCACGTGTGGTCATTTCGAGCATCTGCTGGGTGGCCAGAAACGCATCACGGAGTGCAGTACGAGGGTCCGACCGAAAGGAGGGGTGCTGATCGCGATGAATACAAGTGTATGTAGGTCGAGGAAAGGCTAGTACACCAACGAGATGCTTGGGGAGGTACTCCTTGACGAAGTTGCTCACGTCGTGGCCCTTCTTGCCGTGACCGTCGAACACGCCATAAATGGACACATCGCCTTCAACACGAATTACCAGGAAGGAGTCCTGATTGGGACCTGAGGGCGACGATGAAGTGAATGCGAAAGGCCAGAGACAGCACTCACTGACAGGTTTGAGTCCCTTCTTGCATGCGAAACCCACCAGACTGCTTCGGAAATGATCAGAGTCGCCTTGGGCTCTGAAGACGTTTGTGGAAGGAGCACTTGCAGTTGAGCTCACAGTAGGTCCTTGTCGCCGAAGCTCTCTTGCTTGTGCATCATCTTGTCGGTAGTAGAACCGATGGAAAAGCGTCGACTGCCACGGCGAGAGGACGAACGTGTCAATGCGGGGTTCGCCTCCCTGCTGTCGGGGGAATCTAGGTCGCTCCCTGGCAAGATACGGAGTAGGCCCGATCAGAGCCCAGGTGGAAGGTGTACTGAAAGTATTCTCCTTGCTGGTTGATGAAGATGCGAGTAGCTCTAGGAGGCTGCAGGATACGAAGCCTCTGAGGGGGGAGACCAATACGGGTAGAGTAGAGGGAAAGGGACATGCCTGTTGTCATCATTATCAGCAACCTCCTGGGCATCTTCGACAGAGGCGAGACTCAGTCTTCGACTACGACGAGATGCAGTAATGGTGACGGCTAGGGGAGAGGACATAGGGAGAGGGGAGTAAAAGGCTGAAGACATTTCTGTGTGAACAAGTCATCCTATTTGTTTGATAATGTCCATCAGCGCGGCTCAATTGTACAATTTACGAGAACTTTGTTAAGGGAACAGAATTCAGCACGAAATCTGATTAATGAAAATTTCATCAACTTTTAACACTCAAGCGAATGAACAGATCCTCCAGAGAAACGGAGGTTTGTGAGCTGACAGACGAAAGTTTCATTTTGCGCTTCGCTCCGCTAAGATTCAACCGCGCGCGCCCCATCCCTCAGCTCCGTAGTGGGACGAAAAAAAAGCTCTTCTGTCTCCATTGTAAGTGAGTTTATTACCTCGTCCTCAACCTTCGCACTAATACTACGTACCATTTTTCAGCCCGTCTCCCTGGGGGAGCTCTGTTTATTCGTTTGACTAGTTAAGGCTGTTGATGATGAACGTTGTTGCACTTGTGACTCGTATAATCTACCATGCCAGACTACGTGGATAATTCTGTTTCACAAAAAGACGTCGTCCTCGAGCAGTTATTTATAGTAGTCATAATGCCTTCCCCTAAGAATCTTGCAGGTGCCCATCCCGCCGCTTCTTCACCGAAGAAAGCTAAGACACTGGACGCTTCGAACCAGTTGGAGGCCTTGAAGAACATGACTTCTGTTGTGGCTGATACAGGTGAGAAGAGTGGATCTCGGAGCTATACCTTTTGCAAGTCCTACAGTACTCTTCTGAGGGCCAAGCCTCTGGTGGCTCTCCATAATTGGATTTTCCCCCATAGGCTGGTGGTGAATGCGTCTAACAAAGTTTATTTCGACTTAGGTGATTTCGATAAGATCAAACAGTTCCGTCCTGATGATGCTACTACCAACCCTACTCTGCTGTACCAGGCGGCTCAGATGCCCGAGTATGCACATGTGATGACCAAGGCCATCAAGAACGCTCAAGCTCAGAATCTCACCGGAGAAGCCCTGGTTGACGAGGTAAGAGCTTTCTACTTGATCTCTTCTGAGTGCATCTATGCTAGGTCTGTGACCAGTTGGCCGTGAGCTTCGGTTTCGAGATTCTGCAGATCGTCGATGGTTATGTCTCGACTGAGTGCGATGCCAACTTGTCCTTCGACAGACAGGCTAGTCTTAATAAAGCAAGAAAGATCATCAGCATGTAGGGGGGAAGAGTTGGAATTGGTGTGGTATGGATTTTGTTCAGGTATGAGTCCATGGGCATCTCTCGTGATCGTATTCTCATCAAGATGGCTTCGACGTGGGAGTGCATTCAGGCGTGTAAGGAGCTTGAGAAGGAGGGAATTCATTGCAATATGACTCTCCTCTTCTCATTTGCCCAGGTAATGGGCCTATTTTGTATCTTGCATGGTCGACCTTAAGATTCACATCTTAGGCCGTTGGAGCTGCCCAAGCTGGTGCCACCCTCATCTCGCCCTTTGTTGGCCGCATTCTCGACTGGTATAAGAAGAGCACTGGAAAGGCCTCGTACTCTATGGACGAGGACCCGGGTGTTCAATCAGTGAGGAAGATCTATAACTACTACAAGAAGTACGGCTACAATACCATTGTTATGGGCGCTTCCTTCCGTAACACGGATGAGATCCGTGGCCTTGCTGGTTGTGATAAGCTTACTATCTCACCAAAGCTGCTCAAGGAGCTTCAGGACAATACTGATGTGAGCGGTATGAAGAGGTATCTAGACCCGGAGAGGGCTGTGGCTGATACCGACAAGCTGGCCGACCTTACTGAGCCTGAGTTCCGTTGGATGCTCAACGAAGACGCCTGTGCTACGGAGAAGTTGGCAGAGGGTCTGAGAAATTTCAATAAGGATTTGCAGAAGCTGAAAGACGTGGTCCGAGCTAAGCTGGCGGAGGCTGAAAAGTGAAGATATGAAAATATCAATTTATAGTTGGTGAAATTCCCCCTGTAAACTTTTGAGTGTGATGACGATGAAGATTTATTATGTTGATTTTCTATACTGTTTATGTCAAGGGAACGCACATCGACTCGTACTGGTTTCCGTGTTCCGAGATGGGCTATGATGCGTTCAACAATATCGGGTTTATGCTGGTGATGATACTCTCCTGTTTAGACTGAGGCTTTTAGGTTTCATATGGCATCGGGTTTATGATATGTATTGTTGATATTATTGGGTTAACTTAGTGGTATTTCTGGTTCTCTTCAGAGGATAGGGATGAAATAGTTGTTGTTGTTGTATCCCCTAGGGCCACAGGCGCTTCGCCAGCTCTGGCGTTATGACCGGCCCGAGGGCATGTTCAGACTCAATGGTGATTTCTGTATACTACATGCCGTACTACTGCGCGTCCCTATCACTTGTTATTTTTGAGGGAAATAGCGGTTGTGAATTTTAATACAGTTTTGTTGTTGTTATAATGGTTACCGCTTCCCGGTTGGATGGTGCTGAAGATGATGACGGGGGTCGTGGAGGGGTCCAATTCAGTGAGAGGGATATGGGTCGGATAGCACCGGTGGACCGGGATGAACTAGAGGTAAAGCATACTAGGCTGATGGAGAGGACGGGAGCATTTGCGAAGCATATGGAGATAGCTGGGCAGAGTAGGGAGGTGGTGAAGTGGCGGAGGAGTGGTATGGTGTTGGTTTTTTAGATGTATCTGGTGCTGGTCTGGGTGGTGTTATCCTCTCAAATTTAACGGTGTGGGCACCTAATAAAAGTGAGGAAGCGTTTTATGAATTTTGCTTGCTGATGTAAACGCCTTGTCGTCGCAGACCGACGGCCGGCAACCAACTCTACAGGGAGGACGAGTGAGGTTACTTCTAGGAGCGCACCGACGTCGTCGTCGTTGGAAGCGCGCACGCCCGAGGAAGGTGCTGTAGTTGGGGGGCATCAAAAGGAGGGGGATTGGTGGCGATGGTACGGTACTTGAATGGATGGGAAACGTATAGGCGTATATAGGGTCGTTTTAGGGGAAAACGTATTCGGCGTTGGTCGCCGCATAGGAGACCACGTAAACCGGTATTGCCTAAGCTGGATTTGGGTATGGTAGCGATTCGCGAAGGGGTGATGAGCAGTGGGAGGAGGGTCCAAGCGGCTGCTAATAAGTTTTCGGGGAGGGTCTATGGCTTTAATCCGACAGAACATAGCGCTCTAGAAGACTGTGTTTATTGTGCTGGAAAGTCGGCGGTGGTCACGGCTAGAATGCCTTGGGAGTTTTATGATAGAGTCGAGACGGATGAGGAGTATAAGGCGTATGAACGACTGTTCACAGATCGGGCATCGCTCTCCTCGCATAGGGTAGGTTGATGTTGTACTTCGTGTGTGCAACTTCACTTTCACTTGCATAGAGGCTTTTGATCTGGTTTGGCGAGCAGTGTTTAACTCTGTGTTCACTTTCCTCAGCTGAGCTTGGGAGTTTCCTCACTAGTGATAGAAGTCTACATATGAACTAGGGTAGAAATGTACAGAAACCAATGAGAATTCCCCGAAATTTCCCTAGAGTTTCCGTGAAGGTTTTGTTAGAAAGTAAGTTCAAGCAAGTGCACGAAATGAGAAATATGTTGGTGTATTCTGATGTTATCGATCGAAGCGTATGTTGTGAGACTCAGATGGTTCCACCCACGAACCAGTCTCGTTCTTTCCTTTGTTTAAGTCTTGTCCCAAGTTGGTTGGGGGACGCTAGCATATGGAAACATATCCCGTGACGTAGTTAGTGTGACCAAACATGATCTGTGAACCTAGGGCCCAAGGTGAGACCCGGAGAGGGTTCGGGTTCACAGTGTTTGGCCCTCTCCCACACTCCCAACCAACTGTCTGGTGATGGGCAGAGGTGACTCGAATTGAGAAAACGAGTCTTGAATATTGTCACCAACATATGTGGTTGACCATATTTGCATATATATGCAAATATGGTTACAACGTAGATATCTGTATATTATCACTCCTCACGGTATGCTCTATCGAATGATACTAAAAAATT